ATTGGCACAAATCAAATTAATTTATACTAGCCTTGTAACATAGCTGCATTCAGAATGTGCTAAATTGTATTGTGAAAAAGACATCGAGCTTTTTTATGGTTAAAATAAACTATAATATACATATAAGGACTATAATATAGTGTATCATTGGTCCATTTTGCAGGTTATGTGATTCAGTTGTTTCTCTAAACCATGTTCCTGATGAATTAGGTTGATTTTGAGACAGGCCATTCTTCTAGAAAATCATCGATTTAGTCATAAGTTAGATTAACGATGATTGTTTTGGTTGTAGACCGTTGGTTCAGAATTTTAGTAGTCACGGTCTGATGTTCGACAGAGAACACAGACGGAGACTGAGAAACAGTATTATGCGTAGATTTTATTGTATTAACATAATTAGTAATAGAAATATATATACGACCTCGGTGGTCTATAGGTTTACATTGTGGACGCTGGATGCGGAGTTCCCGGATTCGTTTAGTAGCAGTAGATCTCCCTGTGAAAGAGTTCGTCCAGGGTAGTACTACCACCTTACCTATTTCTGCCGCCAAGCAGTAATGTGAGCATTACTATGTTCCGGTTTTAAAGGGTAAGGGTGTTGGTGATATTACAGGCACATGGTACTTGTCAACTTTTGTCTCAGGGTGACAGGCGCAGTGACAGTGCTCCTCATGTGTTTGCGATTTTAAGCTCTGAGTGGCACTGCAACTTTTTTTATTTTTTTTTTATTTTATTGTGACTCGGCAAAATGACTGCACCGCGCCTGATGGAAAGTGCGAATACAGTCCAGAGATGAGAGTAACGGATGGAAAACACAAATACCTTCACTCCGTCACTATCATTTACTATTAAGGACAGGCGTGTAGTTTACCATCAGGCGTACAACTTGTTCGTCCCATCACTTGATATTATAAAAAAAAATATTTAAAACGTGTCAAGGGTTAAACCATACATATCCGCTGTGTAGATACTATATAGGCAGTGATGAAAATAATTGGACTCGTAATTCCATCATACAGAGCAAAGATTCGATAAATTAATATTTTTCACAGTGCATGTATTTGCTAATAATCTTATTATTTCATATGTTATTATATACTTTAATACATAGATATAAGTCGCATATATTTCCAGTGTTACGTGGTAGTCAAAGTCAAATCATGTTTATTACAAAGGTAAGCAAATTATACTTGAAATCGTCATATTGATTAAACTCTAACCGCTCATTCGTTAGGCAGATTCCGCTGAGAAGAACGAGCAATAAACTTTAGGGGTTGCTCTTTGTAAATATACACCGTTTACTGTAATTATTTCAAAGATCTTAGATTGAGAATACCTGTAAGAGCTAAACGGGCCATTAGCACGGCTTATTAGCTGTTTAAAAAACCTTTAGAATAAAGAATTTGTTTAACCATAGCCTTAAACCTCGTAAATGGCAAATTTTGAATATCACCCGCTATCTTATTAAATTAATGACCCTTTAAACGAATTTGTGATTTTGTGGAGACGACTATCAAGAACGACTAGTTTTATTTTTGATTCCTCGTATTAATGTCATGTCTGTCACGATTTTTCATACCAAAGTACTATTGTTCTTAACCTATTTAAGTTACATTTTCATAAATGTACTGTGACGCCAGTATAATAATGTTAATCTCTTTAAACTCACTTCTGAAAGACACTCTGGGGCCCAGATTGTAAATTGCCCAACCACACATTTCTGCAGGATAAATATTTTATTAATGTCGGCGGCATTACCTCAAAGTAATCGCGAAAATCCAATAACTCGAGTTATCTTCTTTATTTGTGAAAAGAAAATGTCAGTGATAAAAAGAAATGAGGAACTACAAAGTATCCACTGATGTACTCGTTATATTATACTCTTTTGTCATCGTTGTAGGCTAGATCACTATTATAGCAAAAAACAAAAGATAAATTCAAGTTAACGTTGCAGAATACACTTTCCTCCACCTGTTGTGACTGTGACCTTTCAATGTATGGAGGTTTTGCCTTCCGTATCAATAGTAAATAAAGAGGGTTCCCGAGTGTTACCCTGTGGGACACAATCTATAATTAACATTTTACCAATTATATACCACTGCTAAAGATTGTCAACGAACTTTACGTACGTTGTTAATGGAATTAATTCAATCATTGTGATGGGAATGACAACTAATCTTTTATTCTCCGAATATAACGTAGTTACATTTTCCGAGGCATTTATTCCACCTGTAGCTCCTGACCACTCAATATCTTTCAACAGACATCGCTTCCTCTTCCTTTATTTATTCGAAGGTTCGTTTTATTCAAAGAAATAAGCTCAGACCTTCCGGAGACCTCTTTTAATATTTTATGAAAGTGAGATAACCGATCCGTGTAACGTACAGTAAGTTCAGTAGAATGTTGGAATTTAATGTTGCAAAGTTAATAGAAGAATTTCTTTTGAGCATTGATATGTTATGTATATTTTTATTATATATTATGTTTAATTGTGCTGGACAAAATTCTATTATCTCCAGGTATACGATTTTTACAAACGTTAACATTGTTATGCAGGTCCCAGGCTATCTCTAATTTCCAAATTATTTATGTTGATAATTATAAATAATTTACGTTTTCAATGTGAATTGCAGTGTACATTTCCCAACAACCTACAGGATGTGTTCATAACAAAAAATAACAAATGTGTAGAAAAAGAATTTGTAATAAAACACATTTCTCAATTCACGGAAAGTCAACGTGACTGTTTTAAAAATCATCACATTACTGTCGAGGTTTATTCTCGCAGTCACAAGTCTGAAGGGTTTTTCTTAGGAACTCAGCTCTATATCACACACGTTTTCAGGGTGTATTACAGACGTCAGAAATGAAAAAATATTGGATCATACGGCCTAGAAAATGTTTTAGCACATGTTTGTGATACGGAACACTTGAACAGAGAGAAAATAACTTATAGTATTTTAGTAAACCTTCTCTACTATGAAAAATATGCGCCTATGTTTATTCGCCGAGGAGGGATTACCTGACCTCTTTGCTGTTGTCAGGGCTCGTATTGCTACCTTTTGGGACAGATTGTTGTTTTAATAACGGCATACTGAGAGCTATTTCCGCAGATATGTCTGGTCCAATTTTTAACGGACTTCAAAAAAACAAAAGGAGGAGGTTATACGTTCGGATGTATGTTTTCAGATATCTCCGTCAATTGTGGACCGATTTTGAAAATTCTTTTTTTGTGTGAAAGGAAAATTTCTCGCGGTGGTCCCATTGTCAACAAGTCAGAATCTGATGAGGGGATCCCATGAAAATCGAAGGATATCCTCAAATTCTATAGGCATGTCCGTGTATTCACCAATTTCTCCATTAATTATGCACCGATTTTGAAAACTCTTCTTTTGTTTGAAACTTTTGGTATACTCTCGAGGTGGTCCCTGATGCTTTTCCGGGTTCGTTTCGGCTATTACAAATTACTGATTATTTTCCACATATAAAAGTCGACTTATCACTTGTCACAATACATGTAATATAAAATGTGCAAAAGAGTCCGTAACAGTCCCATTGTCACCGAGAAGTCAAAATCTGAGAGGGGAGCGTGAGGCCCGTTTTTTTTTTCAATGAAAAAACTTACAATTATTAAGTACTGGCGTTCCATCCACCGCGACTCAAACAGGAAATAAATTAGACGTAGACCTGTGTGGGTCATGTCTTATAACTTTATTTTATTTTATTCCTACATTTTATTCTAGTTTATTATCATTGTTGTTATATTATGTAACTGCTGCCGTGGCCGAACGATTATCATGCCAGACTCCTACGCAGAGGTCCCGTATTCTATTCCCGCGCCGGGAGAAATATTTGTATGACCTACATTTATTTCTCTCGTGAGTTTGAGTGTAATTTGAGGTTGTCCATGTGTGTGTCCATGGCACCCGCGATACAGGATTTCACTAGTTCGGGGCTATGAATGTGTGCGCGTTGTGCGTATTAGCGTATATGTAAAATGGAATTTCGCCTGAAAATGCCACAACTAGTTTGGTACAGTTATTGAGAACAGTTACTCACTATACTCAACTCGTTGCATTAGTGACAGGACAAATAAGTCATGCGCCTGATGGTACGCGACACGTCTACCCAAAACAGTTGCAATGCCAGCCCAAGCTTTAGATCGCAAAGATCTGAAGGGCACTGTGACTGCGCCTGTTATTCTGAGACATAAAATTGAGTAGTACTATGTGCCTGCAATCTTCACCAGCACCCTTACCCTTCAAAATTGGAACGCAGTAATGCTCACGTTACTGCTTGGCGAGAGAAATATATAGCTCTACTGATGCTTGTAAAGTGATTAATTGCAGGAAAACTGATGTTAAATTTGCCCTCGTAGATCAGACAATTACTCCACATAATTGTTAATTATAGAAGCAAATAATTTCAATTTACAAAGAATGAACGCGTCATTTCTAAATTTTACTATGAACAATTTTACGTAAAAAAATACCTCAATGATCATGTAAGGGTATTTCTCTGAGGTTCTATATTCGACTACATAAGCTGGAGCTTAGCCGTCCCAAAGGGTATGTAATTTAATTTAATAATTGACTTCTTTCATGTGGTTTTTATCCCCAAAATAGGAAAATGGAATGCGATATTTCAATACTTTTATTTCTTAAAGTGATTCTTTTAAGATTAATATATTTGATTGGAATATTTCACAATATGATAATAAGTAGACTATGCTTTATTGGTAGTCCTTTGTTATAAAGTGAACGCACTAAAAATTCGGTGAATTAAAAAGAAAGTTGCATGTTACATAGCATTTAATTAAAATAAAACTCCGACAGTATATTTCTAAAAGGAAAAATACATGTAAACGTTATTAAGCGTAGCAGTTCTAAAAAGCTGTTAAGCCGAATTTGCCCAATAGAAATCTGAAAATTGCCATAATCCAACATAAAATCATTCAAATGTACTCAAGCAACAATAAGTAATCAAAACTTTTGACTCACCAATCATTCTATCCCGATTACTTCGGAATTCCCTCACTGATTATGTAATAGTTTCAAAGTTTTCACTACGCAATAAGAAACAAAACTAAATATAAGCCGAGAAAAAAGTCAGTAATACATTTTACCCGAGTATGGCTGGTCGGAATGAAGATAGCACTTTCCTTTTTGGAGTGATAGGGGATGTGAAAGTAATAAAAATCGGAGTAAAACGGATAGGGAGAGGAAGTGCTCGCGTCTAGAGTCTCGAAGCGACTGAACTATGGCTGGGATGGCTTAACCGAATTCGCATTTTCCACGAACGCGCAATTTACAAAGGATACACCTCCACTGAATCGAGTACAGCCTCCAGTTTTATTAACGACAGCGCCACCTAGTGGAGCTTTCCAAGAAATTTTATGAAATACCCGCCATCTTGCGGAATTTTCCGAAATTACTTACTCATGTAGAAAACGTACATGTAAGCTAGGAGGATAGTTTCATATTTTTTCAACAGAGGGCAATACGGTTATGTGATACCGTTTAAAAAATTTTGTTAATATACCTAATTATTTACGGTTATTATTTTCTTTGAGTGTAGCTTCGTATTTATAACTTGTACGACACACATCGATATGTTACTCGTTCAGTGCATGTTAAAAAATATGAAAGGAAATAAAATTTTCATTATGTCGTTGTGTAGGTTGTTTTATGTTTGTTTTGTACTAAAGATATCAACGAGCTTGTATTCAAAGCAATAATTTTACATTTTTTTATATCTAATTTATTTCCAATGATATAATATCACGACATCTATATTTGCAATATAGATGTTAGTCAATGATGTCAGTTATTATATTTTATGAATGAACATACATAACTGTATTTGTAGGATCTTACGAGCTAATTGCAAAAAAAGGAATTGATGAGTTAGACTAAAAATATCCAACTTTTTTAGCCTAAAGGCTGCAGTGACTTATCCACTAAGCCGAGAGGGCCAACAGCTAGCTCTTCATACCAAGGTATTGTAGTTTTTTTTAAATTACGCCCAAAGTTTTGTATTAATTGATGAGTGAGATATCTATGGTGTTGGGCACGGGGTTATCTGTTTTTCGTAATTTGGATTGGTGCTGACGGGCCAGTGTCAAGGACATTTTATTGTAACGTAGAAGCCGACTCGCGTGCTGCGCATTACGTATTATTACGACTACTTACAAAATACCTCACATGCTAAATGCATAGTAGCGACCTCTTGCGGATAGTTGAAAAATTAATCACAAGACGTGGTAAGGCCCAGCGGCGACTCGTGGGGAACGATGGAATTACTCAAAAATTCGATTACTGTTACTTTCTTAGTAAAAATACAGTGTGTTTAATTAAAAAGTAACGCAAAAATTTAACTAGTGGAGTTGGAGCCGATACTACCTTAGCCCGGATTCAAACGTTTCTCGTACTAACACGGTTTTACTAACATTTTGCTTGGGTGGAGCCATTTGAAAAATGTATATCGTGTATTATTCGTGTTCTATTTAGTTCAGTTGATATAAAAAAAAATATAGATATATGTAAAGTACCTATTGTATTAGCGGATTTCTTGTAAAATTTCGAGGTAACTTTATGTTTTTTTTTGTACCGTGAAAATTTTTTGGTCCGTGTTTTTACACCGTATATTAATCAGTGTGTATCCTCAATTTTACTATATATTTTTTCCAAAGTGATTGTGATTGATTTAACATTTTCACTGTTATGCGGAACCAACCAAAGCCATTTGAGGTTGTATAGTATCTTTGAATATTTATTTTTAACCGATTTAAAAAAGGAGGAGGTTTTCAATTCGATTGTATGTTTCTTTACGTATGTTACGCGATAACTCCGTTTGTGAACCGATTATGTGAAGAAAATATACCTATAATAATATATAATAATAATGACGCTCACACTCAACATAGCCCCGCACTAGGGAAACCCTGTGTCGCGGGTGCCATGGACACACACATAGACAACCACAAATTACACCCAAACTCACGAGAGATATAAATGTAGGCCATACAAATATTTCTCCCGGCCCGGGAATCGAACCTGGGACCTCTGCATGGCAGTCCGGCATGGTAACCGTTCGGCCACGGAGGCAGTTTACCACCTCTAAAGTTGGCAAACTAGGGCATGAATTTTGAGGTCAAAATTTTGAGGTCGGGTTTTTTAGTACTCTGCACTGTTTTGTTTTAACTTGTGCGATCGTCTTGATGTTGATATGCTGTGGATATCCGATAATATTACAATTATATGGTGTGGATTTTTATAAATAATAATAATAAGTTTGTTTATTTTCTCACCACAATATTGGTACATTGAGTATAATAACAATCACTATACATAAAAAAAAAGAATTATATTGTGGGAGACTGGTGCCTAAAGTAGACGTATTTCAGGTCACCAGGACTCCACTCCTTGGAAAACACAAATTTGCAACTTAGAAATATTTACTTGTGCATTGATAATTTCGATAACTAAATTATCCATTTAAATTAAATCTAGTGTTATGACACTAAACATTTTTAGAATTACTCCTATAAATCTCGTCTAGAAAAATGTGAATTTCAGGAAACGCGGACATGGAATCTCAGAAACAAAACTATAAACAAGAAGCAGTTGCGCAACATTAGAGCTCGTTGTGAAAAAATTCGTCCTGGGAAATACTACTGACTATTTCTGCCCTCAAGCACTAATGTGAGCATTACTGCTTTCCGGTTTTGAAGGGTTATGAATGCTGGTGAAATTACAGGCACGTGGACTTATCAATTTATGTCTCAGGGTAACGGACGCAGTGGCAAAGCCCCTCAGATCTTTGCTTTAAAGCTCTGATTGGTACTCCAACTGCTATGGACAGGCATGTCGCTTACCGCCAGGCGCACGACTTGTTCGTCTCGTCATTTAGGACTTAATTTCGTTCAACAGTGAAACATGGGAAATCATTTACTGACAGCGAATTAATTAAGGGTTGAAATCATGAAGCAGCAAATAAATATGTCCAGATAAAAGCTAATTCATATTTTTAAACAACAATTTAGTAGCCACGGTCGAACCCACGGTGAAGCTAAGAGGAACCCACAGGTCGGCCGATGGAGCTAGGCTGGCCCGAGGACGAGGGCGTCCCGGGCTCGTCTTGGTCCAGGTGGAGCGGGTTCACGCCGATGCGCGCGAGGAGGGTCGCGGGGGAGAGACGTCAGTGTGTCGTTTCGTTATGCTCGTCCTGTCCTCCGCGATTCTGGCGGGGTTGCACCGCTGGTGCAAGTGGAGGACGATGAAGTGGAGAAGAGTGCAACAAATGTTAAAGGAAATGAGGGTAGGTGAACTTAGCTTATGCGCCGTCTACCTCGATATCAGGGCGAACAGATATTTTTAAAGAAATAGAAAATAGTACTCCGAATAACAATTAAAAACTTTAATTAAAATGTAAAAAACGACGATACAAAACAGTGCACTCGAAACAATAATAAAATCGCCATCCGTAAGCTAACTACTACTCGAGGTCTATTACAGGAGCATAAACATAGTTCTACTGTTAATAGTTGACTGGGTAGTTTGCAGACTGTTCTGATTGCAGCATCAAATCAAGGGTTCCCAAAGGGTACCATATTTTTGACGACCTTGGTGGCCTAACGGTTTACATTGTGGACCCTGGATGCCTATTCGATTCCCGGTAGGACCAATTTGGGATGAAGTTTTCTAAATTAGTTCGGATCAGGGTGTTCTGGAAAGTGGCCCAGAATTCCGTTGCTCTGCTCTTTAATCTTTATTGCTCAATGATAACATAAACCCTGTCAGGACGCTGCAACTTAACTTACTTTACTAAGTACATAATTTATTCTCGTTATTTATTTATATATTAATCGAGTTATAATCAAAAATCTCCTGTAATTTATAAAAACAGTTCGATAGCAAGTATCTCTTCAATTTATTTGCAAACATAATGTTTTCTATATTTCTTATTGTGAGACGTAAGTATTTTGTTGTACAATCTTTTATTGTCATATAGGTAATATGTACCTGATTAACAATGTACTTTGTCAATGAGGTAACTTGTTGATTAGTTTTTCTAAAATTGGCTTTATAGTGATTACTACTGTCTTGTTCAAATAAGTGATATAGGCTTTATCGATCTCATCGTCACTTTCCATCGGGTGAGATGGAGATCTAACGCGAACTTATTTTTTTTTTTAATAAAAAAAGGGCGTACACACATTTTTCACTGTTGTAATATTGACATAAGGTCCGTTTTCTGACCTGCTCAAGCCGATTCTGAGTTAAGTGTGGTAACTTCTTCGTGTCCAAAGTCCATTCGACAACTAAAAATTTTTGATTCAAACTTATTTTAGCAGCTGCAGAGCTCCTTGAGAAAATGTTCGTCCAGGGAAGTACTGCCATTTTACCTATTTCTGCCGCCAAGCAGTAATGTGAATATAACTGCGTTCCAGTTTGGAAAGGTAAGGGTGCTGGTGAAATTGCGGGCACGTGGGACTTGTTAAGTTATCTCTCAGGGTGACGGACGCAGTGGCAGAGACTCTAAGATCTTTGCGATTTAGAGCTCTGATAGGCACTGCAACTGTTCTGGATAGGCGTGTCGCTTACCACCAGGTGCACGACTTGTTCGCCCCATCACTTAGTGTTATAAAAAAAAAAGAATGTTTCAAATGGCATTTTAATACATGCTATTTGCACAAGTTAGTTTTGGTACATTTAATGCTATCCGTTTTGTCTGAGTCAACAAGTAGTATTTTGCGCCGCGTAGTTTTTGCATTGGGTGGTATTTTTATTTATCTGTTTGGATTCTATAATGACCAGAAACCCTTACTTACATAAACGAATAAAAATAAAATACAATGCAAACATTTATTTACTCCAATAACTGTGCCGTGCCTCCATTACCGGTAGCTTTCGTAATTAAAGTTTTGAGTACTTTAAAAATATTCTTTCAAATTCCTTTTAAAGTCGATGTAGAAACCTTCGTATCAGAATTTCATGTAGAGATTATTAATTCGCAGTGTTTAAATCTTTAGAGAAACATTTTCACTCATAAAAAATATATTCGGGACTTTATTTCCATTGTCCGTTACATAATATTGTCCAAAATGAAGTATACAAAATTTATTATGCACGAGACGGAAATTAATTCACTGATTTATAAAATAATTAGCTAATTTAAACTGCAAACATGACAGTTACATAAATCTTTTAATTACAACGTTTAATTTCATTATGCGAAAACCTGTGTAAGTCAACTGTTGTAAGCTTGTAAGATAAATGTCTTTTACAACTAAAATATTCAATTTCGTTGTCAGTTATCGTGTTTCGTAAATGGTCGTTAAACAAAAACCTCTGATAATTGTATTGTATGATTTACTTGTATTGAAAATTTTACAATATAATCGAAATAAAATAAGAGGCATCGGATTGGGCACCTCTAGTTTGGGCCTCTCAGTTCTGTTCAAATTTGGACTGTCGCCTAATAACTAATTTCTGTAAATGACGTCACTAACGTCAATATACTAACGGCACTAATTCCAATTCAAAGTCTCAAGTAAGTCAAAACTTCAAGTAAGTAATACACAATATTTTTTAGTAGCAGTAGACATCCTTGTGAAAGAGTTCGTCCAGGGTAGTACTGCCAACTTACCAATTTTTGCCGCCAAGTAAGTAAGTAATGTTAGCATTACTGCGTTCCGGTTTTGAAGGGTAAGGGTCTGGTGAAATTACAGGCACATGGAACTTGTCAACTTATGTCTCAGGGTGACGGCGCAGTGGTAGTGCCCCTCCGGTCTTTGCGGTGTAAAGCTCTGAGTGGCACTGGAACTGTAATGAATAGGCGTGTCGTACAATAAAATAAACAGACGTGGTGTGCGCGGAAGTGGTACCTCGCAGCCTGAAGAATAAATTTTGTCTCAATCTATGATCTTTCCCTTTAGTCATTACTTTTTATGTGAAAATTATTTTTGGCATTCCTTTCGGCTGATCGGGTACAAAAGCCCCCAAACGAAAAATAAAAGAAATTAAATTACTGTATTATCACCTGGAATGTAAATTTCCACACATTTTTCTATAAGCTGTGATTGTTTTTTTACCCAGAAATAGAGAATATAGGAACGTTATTATAAAACACATTTAAACATAAACGGAATGCAAGAATTATGGTGAACATTTGTCACAACACTTTTGTACAAATCGTTTTTTATATGAAAATTCTTTTTAGCATGTATCTCAGATTCGAGAGCTTCCAAATTAAAAACGAGAGAAAAGAAATACCGTATATTACCTGTAACAAAAATATTACAGGTTTCTAACATGCAACATCGAACTACATGAAAATGTAGGGAGTAAAAGGAATTGGGTGCTGGAAAAGTCTCGCAACATTCGGCGCGTATGCTTAAGATGGTGGATAGAGTCATGAGACGAGCGTTTGTCCCAAACGTAAATACACACCCAATCAGCTCTTCTAAAGTAAGATCAAAGTTTTGGTTCTCGCTAATAACGGCGTAAAATATTTGTTTCTATGTTCAACTCTAAGTTGGCTTTAGCAATCACGAAAAGAAATCAGATTAATAAGGTTTTGGTTACAGCTAATAAAAGACGTAAAATATTAGTTTCTGTGCCCAACTCTACGGTGACTTTAGCAGTAACTAGAAGAAATAAGGCTAAGCGCCCAGTTACACGAGGCGAAAGCTTTAGCGCGGCCACCGCGCGTCGACCGCCCAGTTACCGCGCCTTCATGTACATTAATGGCGAATCTGAATTCTATTTACTAGGCAACAGCATTTAAATTCCTCTGAATAATATAACCGCACAGTAAACCAAATTCAAGCCAGTCTCGCCCGCGTGCACGGGACACTCATTTTAAGTTACAGCGTAAAAGCTAAAAGAAAAGAGCTTATTTTGCTATGACAAACGCACGCGGTCACTGCGCGGCGGTAACGCGGACTCCGCTCGGCGGCCGGGGTGAGCGCTATGAAATTCGTGTCGAATAAATGGAATAAGGATTTGGTAGTCACTAAGTGCGGCGTAAAATATTTGTTTCTATGTCCAACTCTACGGCGACCTTAGCAGTCACAAGAAGGAACGAGATTATAGGTTTAGGTGTACGTAGGTTTGTCCAGCACATACTCGCAGACTGCATACTTTTTGAAAAACGTCTGCAGTCTGCGAAAGAGAGAAAATTTCCATTTCACCGTGGAGCGCGCCCTGGGGCATCATGCCCAGAAGGCTGGTAACGTTTTACTGAGTTAATTAATTTCACTTACAGAATTGTTATTGAAAAGTAATGCTTTGAAAAAGGGTGCAGCTTTAGTATCAAAATAAATAACTTAAACGGATCTGTCTGTTTTGAATTAAAAATCATAGACATTATTTTAATTATTTATTTAAAGCCCCGTAATAATGGCCATTGGGAAATGTGTAAGTTTGTAAGTCAATTTACTTTTTATTTACAATAAGTAGTATCTTGAGGTCTTTGGTTTCTGACGTGTGTCTCTATTATATTATTTATAGTACAAAAATTACATAATATACGTACTTTAGTAAAAAATACACATGTGTCATTTTTTAGTTAACTTCGTTATTTATTTATAAATTATACAAGGTGATAGAAACGACCGTTTTAGAAGATTTCGTCATAGATGAGTTTATGATCTGAGAAAGGTGGCCGGCAGCTGCTGGATGCGGAGCCTTATGTCCAGCAGCGGATGGAAGCTTATGATGATGATCTAGTCTACATTCTAATTATTCATAATAATAGTTTTAAGCGCTCAACATCTAACTTTTTAGCAATCGCTAACCACTTCTTATAGTTTTTCTCTGATTTTCTATCGAAATTAAATGAAGTAAAAAGTTGAAACGCGATTTGTACTTAGCCGGTGTTTTTTCTTTATAAGTGGTCAGAGAATCCGACATCTGTTTCCAGTTAATCTCTACTAATGTCCATTTGAGAACCATTAATGTCCGACCCGACGCCTCTCCTCGAATCTATTAATGGTCCCATTTACACTTTGTACATAATACTATGCAGGGTTATTTTTAATTAATTTGCAACTTTATAACTTTTCTATAAAACCAAGAACTTTTTTCAATCTTATGTTAGTTATTCATAATTTATATGAAACGTCAAGTAATGGTTTAATTTGCCATAAGTCGTAAAACAAAAGTTGGTTGTAATATTAGAAAAAAACAATATTTTTATGTATTGAAGACAATTATTAATAAAATTTTATCCTGCATGTTTGCATTAACCAGTGCGTTTTTAAAATAAAAGTATGTGTTATATGGAATAAGGAACCCCGTACTATGGTCTAGACAGTAAGTTCTAAGTTCTTCTGTTCGTGACCTAAATCATTAGAAAAAGGGAAACTTATGGAATTTATGCTTCGTTTACTAGAGATCAGTATGACAAAGGTAACAATTACTTTTAAATAGTTCAGACCAGTTCAAATACTTTATTTAGCCCCCAATTGTTGCACCGGAATCCATAACTCAATTACATTCAATGTTTTTCTACATCCGTCCCCGGTGCATTCATCCTTTATAAAATGTTTGTCTAACACAAAAGTACTGTGTAAACGTTGTTACCAATGAATTGTCTGACCGATCAAGTGTATTTATCGCATTTAAAAAAAGCGCAAGTTTATAAATATGCTCAGACGGAGAGTAATATACAAGCTAAAGTACCTTACTCTTAATTTCTATTAAATTGATTGAAGAAGTCATGCGAAACTTCAACACATGAGTGAAGATGCGGCTTCACGCCACGTGCCGCCGCGTTGTCCGCTGCAGCCCGTGGCCAAGGACGGCGGGCTCCTGGCAATATGTGTTACACGCTTCAACAAACTATGGAAAGAATTTGGAACTATTATAAAATGAGTGAAGCAGTGGCGAGTGGCGATGGCCAGCAAGTGTCGGCCGGCGTGCGGGCGAGATAGCGGCGGCGGCGGGTAGCGGCGAGCGGGCCGCGGTCACACGACGCCACTTCTCTATCAGCGCCCTCCTTGCCCTCCGCTCCTCCCGCGGCCAGCGCGGCGCCAACGGAATTCGCGCGAGCGACGCGCCTCGCGCCCGCGACGGTTCAGTGTACGTGCGACCACTCGCGGCCGAGGACGACAGCCGCACTACGCGCCCCGCGCTCGTTTCACTCAGCTTATTACGCAGTTGCGATACCACCGACCGCGTGGACTATTTCTAAACAAATACAACTGTACTCCCCACCCTCCCAGGACCCCGGACAAGTTGTGCGCGGAGTTTTAACCCCCGCGAACACCCAGTGATAACTCTTATCAGTGTGGAAAAGTTGCGTTAAAGTGCGAGCCGAACTCGGAAGGACGGTGGAATTTGCGCAGTGGCAGAATCTTCGGGACGGTGTGACGATAGTAACCGATACGAAACTGAGTGTTTCGGGCCACGTTACAAGGTTATCGCGCCTCTAGCCCGCCAGTGATGAATTGGAAAATCGGCGCGTAGTCACTCACGTGGTCCGCGCCCCGCCCCCGCCTCGCTCCGCGCGTATATTTAGCGAAAGTCGCCTCTCGGGAACGGTCCGACGGCTGACGCTCGGTGCACGACGCTGTTTATGAGCGTTACGGAGACGCCACATGTTATTGGCTTCAAATAACAGAGCCGATAAGGAAAAGACAGATAACCTCTCCGGACCGCGCTCCGGGGCCGCTAGTGTTCTGGAATCGGGAGGAATTATAAAAATCTGAAGCGAAATAGTTTTGAGATGTTAATTTTCGTAGTCGGCACGCGCCGGTGAGTGCCCTGTCCGACACACCCACCGAAAATTTCCACTGCTGAGTAATATAAAGTCGAGGAGATGTCGATCCAAGGTGGCGGTGGGTACCAGAGCCCGTGGTCGTCGCAGACTGGGCTGACGGAGTTGGACGGCGCCATGGGGGAACTAGAGCCTCTCGGCGAATTAACGGAGGTGGGATTCGAGCCGCAGACGCGCGCGCGCTCCAACACGTGGCCGTTGCCGCGGCCCGACAACTACGTGGAGCCGGCCGACGAGGCAGGCTCCAAGAAGAATTCCAACCAGAATCTGACCGGTAAATATCACTTGTCCTCGCTGATAGCGGGGTCGTACTTGCGATACCGCTGGCTATTTAGGTCGCCGCTGCGTCCGAGCTCGTCGTTCGTGTGTGCCACCAATAACGAACTAACATTGGAGAAGTCATGTAAAACGTATAAAAGTAATAAAAAAACACGCACCTGTCTCATAGCATCGCGTTAACTTATTGACACTTTTATTATCTACGTTCAGTAATCATGTTTACAAACACAAATCTACACTATTTGCTTTTGCTTTGACGTAGATAGAAGTTGCGTCGTCACGGACATCGCGGAGTGCTGTCGATATTGTCCATGTATATAGATTTGTATCAAATTTGCATACCTATAGGCCTTGGAGAAATACTAACAATTGGAACGAATTAATTTCGACGCGAGATACGTAAAGAAATATGTTATTCTGCTATAGAGCTAACCAGTTACGTCTATGTTACATTGAATTGATTTTTGTAATATTTGTAAACAAAACCGTAGAAATCGTAACTACTTTAAGTTGTTTACGCGTTTTTTGTTTCTGATGGAACCATTAGGATCGTTATGGATGTTGAAATAAATATTTTATAAAACATCGCAACCATGTTAAGTAATGTTAAATAAATTACGTAATCAAGTTACCTTATTTTCAATAAATTCTTAATTAGATCAATAAGGATTGTTTCATTATATAATGAGTTAACAGAAACAATGTTGTATAAAATTGTGAAACAAAAAATGAGGAAATCGGTTTTCGGATAATATTAACTTAAAAAATCTTACTTATTTGCTCCAAATTTAAATAGGATGGTAAAAATTATGCTATGGCTGCTAATTATAATAAATTTATCGATGTATTGTTACTTTAAGATAGCTTATTACAGTGTCTAAGTTTACCCTTTGATAATGTTTAAGAAAAAACAAATTAATAAAGCCCTTTGTAGTAAGTATACTTTAGTCGCCTGCATTTCATTCACACTCTCCATGGTTTTATGTACATTTTAAATGCTGTTATATACAAAATTTAAAAAAATTAATGTTAAATGAAACGTTAATTGACATATTATTATATTGTTTTAAATTCTTTATTTCATAGGAAATGAAACTATTTTTCCTGATTTGAATCACATATATTTGTTTTTTCAAACAAACCGACGTTTGTACCCGCGTCAAAGAACATATAGCTGATGTCAAACACCGTCGCGTAAACAAGTCTTTAGTCTGCGAGCATGTCATGGATAAACCTACACATTCAATGAAGTTTGACAAACCCCAGGTCCTTGCCGAGAGGCCATTGAAATTAAAAAACATCCTAATTTCAACAGGGAAGATGGTTTCTCCGTACCACCACTTTGGGATCCTGTATTTCCTCTAATGAAAAATCCCAAACAAACAAGACGGCAGTACTAATTAATATGTTTAATTTATTCTAATTTCTATTATTAATTAATAATAAAATGAACTTAATAAAAATTCATTCAATAAAATAATTTGCAAAACGTAATGTGGCGTAAATTGGAATGTTTCTTTGTAAAATTAAAAATAAGGTATTTAATTAATAACTTTTGTAACTATAGTCAAAATATAGGGTGGTTTACATTAATATTAGACATAACTGGTTGATGAGTGTACCACCTTAGTCAACCGTGACCATGGGGCCTGTAAAGGGCCCGAAACGTAGGTTTGTTTGAAAAACAAATAAACGCGATTTAAATCCGGAAAAATAGTTTCATTTCCTATGTAACAATCGCGATTTTTTTTGTATTTCAATTGGTATCTACATTTTTCCTTGTCCAAAAACAAATACATACCATAATCATCTATAACATTATCTACGTTACAATTTATGCAATAAAGCACAATTAAGTCAAGCACACACTATAGGTGAAAAGTAATTTTTTAGTATATTAGTGTTTGTAATAATTTTTTTTTATGACAAATGCCTACTAAGTGACGCTAGGAACAAGTCGTGTGGTAGGTTGTAAGCGACACGCCTGTCTATAGCAGTTGCAATGCCAACCAGAAGCTTTAAATCGCAAAGATCTGAGGGTCACTGGCTCTGCGCCCGTTGCCTTGAGACATAAGTTGACAAGTCCCATGTGCAATGTCATCTGCACCCTTAAAAGGGTTTTCATTATCCTGCATTGCAGTCCACCTTCCTTACTGCAAGATTATGAATGTAGTAGCAGCGTGCAAGCCTTCCTGCATTCCTGCAATGCGTCCTGCGAGACTGCATCCGTGGGCCATACGCAGTGTAATAGCGTGTGAGCGGTTTCCTGCCTGGTAGGCGGACTGCCATGCAGGTAGTGAACGGGCCGTTTTACCCTTCAAAACAGGAACGCGATACTGCTCACATTACAGCTTGGCGGCAGATATAGATAAGGTGGTGGTACTTCCCTGGACATTCTTGTTCACATGGAGTTCTTAAGAGAACCTAAATGAACCTAAGCTGTAAGCAGCTTAGGTTCATTCCTACATTATAAATTACCAAAAATGTTACCTAAAAAGAAACAATAGGTTTTATCATTCTCTTCCCCCCGTAATGGATGATCAGGTTGCATGGGGTGTCCCGTACATAATACATCTACTGGTTGCTGTATATTTAATGAGACTTCACATATCTAAAACGAAAGTAATATGACACAAAGTATTTAAAAATAGTCTCAGTACGGAGTACTAAAAAAACCGACCTCAAAAGTCATTCATCCCCTAGTTTGCTACCTTTAGAGGTGGAATATTTTCTTGAAATTTAATTAATAAAAGAATCGTCAAAATCGATTCAAAAATGTTACGTAATTATCCGCGTAACATTCACGCAAAAAAACGTACAGTCGAATTGAGAACCTGCTCCTTTTTTTGAAGTCAGTTAGAAAGGAAAAGGCTTCCAATGATAAATATGCATTATAACTAACGTGACCATACGTTCCGCTTTCAGGGGGATAGTCCCGCTTTTATCCTTCGTGTCCTCAAAATACTTAACAATGTCCCGCTTTGACGAAACAGGACTCACGTGACAATTAGTATTAAAAAATGCCGAAAACGGAAAATATGTAATGCCAGCCCAACAGACTAGACAAGACAGTTTTTTAAAATTTGTGGTCATAAAACATTTTTTAGTTATTTTTTTAATCATTGAGCATTTCGTCTACTATTATAATATACATAGATATATATATAGATACATATATATATAGATAGCATTACTATCATAATATCTGTTTTATTTTTAAACAATTATTACAACAAGAAATACCGTCCCGCTCTGAGGTAAAGAAATAATGGTCACGTTAATTACAACTGTGAAGTCAAATTTATCCTAGATAGTGATAAAGTTCATAAATACACCGTTACATCCGATTTATTTACCATATACTTAAGTTACTATACGTAACTTGCCGCCAAGCAGTAATGTGAGCATTACTGCGATCCGGTTTTTGGCGAAACTATAGTCGCATGGGACTTGCCAGTTTGCCATAGTGCTCCTTAGGTATCTGCTATTTAAAAAGTGGCATCGCAACTGTCGTAGCGCTTACCATCAGGCGCACGACTTGTTCATCCCGTCACTTCATATAAAAAAAATACGATGGAGATTTGAAAGATAAACTTAAGAAATATTAAGAGGGAGCAGAGGAAAAATTCTTAATCTTCGATTTGATTTTGAAGGGGTATATCCACTTTAAAGTTAAAAATAAAATATTGTATGAGTAACTACACGATATATTCAAGCATAGACATTAATCAGAAACATAAAACAATAAAGTTTCCTCGATAGATAAAAATCACGAAATGACCTCTAATTTTCACATTTTTTCGATTTATCCTCGAAATGCTACAGGTTATTAGGACAAAAATTAGATTATTAATTATATTTATGCATGATCGACATCTGTCACTACGGATTTTTTTTAATCCCTTTAGTTTTAGAGTTATTCCGCTAAAACGAATTTGGTACTAATCACGTCACTTTTCACGCGAACTTCAGGCATATATTTGTTTCATAAAATTGGGCGGAGCCAACGTGAAAACTTTTTTGGCATGAGAGCTCTAAAATAATAGACGAACGAAATATGTGATCGATATTATGATCTTACTCAATAATAATGTCTTTGTTAGCTAGAGATGATACCGTCTAAGATGGCAATGATTATAGTCTATTTTTACAAGAGAGTTTCAGATGCATCTCAACTAATAACTTAATACACTTAATACCGGACTTAAGAGCTGTTTGGCTCAATTCTCACAGGCGTAGAGTCGAAGCGTCGCGACGCGTCATGGTTTTTGCCTATAGCATATTCATCTATATTTTCCCATTGTTAAGGTACAAATTTGTGTTATCCAAGTATGGAATTGCCTTCGCACGTCGACTCTTGGTTAAAGCCGCGCGTTGCCGTCGTTGTAGTTCGAGTCTGCGCCATTGTGAGTTGAGCCTTGATTGATATGAGCTTAAGGACAATTAGTCCTTTTTATTACGTGTCTAGGTTTACAGATGATCCCGGTCATCCCATTTCTACAATTGTCTAAACGATCTTATGAAAACTGTTTTGGTATATTTTTACTATAATCATTGTTAATAATAATTATCAGGATAATTTATATATTATCATTCATAATTATAATTATTATTATTAATTATCATGATAATTATCTTTTTAAATATACCTTGATATTTATAAAATTCATTGGAACATAATGCTACTGGTAGCAATGTCGTGGCAGGTGTTTGTACATATTAGAGACGTAACCAAATTTTGCAACAAACGTGTTAAATGTCAATCTCAAAAATTCACGAACTAAATCGTTTTTCCAAAGATATTTTTTCGTGTTAGTTTTCTCACTGTTTGTGATATCGGATAATTATTAAAGATAATAAATATATCTTGACCATTTCGTACCCTGTTTCTTACTGTTATAAAATTCATAAAAATGCAGAACAAATAAAAAATATATATTATAAAATATATATAAATTATACAAATATGTATTAAAAATAGAGAATCTGTAGTCATTTAGAATGAAATATGCACCTTATCTTAAATTTCTAAGCATAATTAGACTTCGTAGTCTCAAAATAATGAAAGGGTGTAATTCGAAAAGTAAATTTTTTGCGAAAATGAAAAAAAAATTACATTTGATATCATTTTTGATATCAAGTATAATTTAATCTTATTTGGCTCCAGCCAAAATCGAATTACGTCACTTTATTGTGGATACGATTGGAACTGTTTTCATAAAAGTTTTTTAAAACATCGTAATTTATTTCTCCATATATAACGATCTTGGGTAATTTAAAAAGGTATAAACTTTTTTTAGATCGCCAAATTAATGTTTTTCCAAAACCATTACTATTGTTCAGTGGTATTAACGTATCCGTATACTTACACAGGTTATTGCACGTTCTAGACATAATGCAAAGTTCACAGCGGGTAATTATGCACAAAGCCTTGGTTGACAATTGTTTTACATCACAGACTATTTACGAATATTATTTATTTACTTAAAACATCATATTTTTGTAATTTTGCCATCAGTGAGCGTTTCATTTATAATGTAATTTGATTTAGATAATTTCACATTTTAGTAAGACCAATTTGGGGAATGAACTTTTCTAAATTGGTTTTGAAATTCCCTTGTTTGAGACCAGGTAATTGGTGTAACTGTCTGGCACTCATTATTTATGGGTCTGAGCATCCAGAGATGAAACTATCCATACGACTAATAAAGGAACAACATCGCTTTTATCCTGTACTATCGAATGCAAAACCGTCTCTATCCACTGATTAGATGCAGAATGGCCTCTATCCACATTTTTTAAAATTGTATACACTGTTTTTATAGCTAACTAAATTTTGTGAATCGAAAATTGTACTCATATTGCCATGGCATACAATTTTAATAAGGGACAAGACTGGAAACGTCGTGGTGATTATTTTTTTGTATACTACCAAGTGACAGGACGAACAAGTCGTGAGCCTGGTGGTAAGCGACACGCCTGTCCATAAGAGTTGCAGTGTCACTTAGTGCTTTACATCATAAAGATCTTAAAGGCACTGCCACCTTGCCCGTCACCCTGAGACGTAAGTTGACAAGTCCCATGTGCCTGTTCGCTCTCATTACGGCTTGGCGACAGAAAAAAGTAAGGTGGCAGTACTTCCCTGGACAAAGTCTATCACAAGAAGCTCTACTGCTTCATACTAAAAATGTTTTATACACGATTAATTCCCCATGTTAAAATCAAATAATTATGAAAAACTTAAGTGATAAATGCTAACCCTCTTGTTAAGTCTTAACTTATGAACGCAATTTGTTCCAGGCGCCCCACCTCTCCCAACATCAGGAGTAACATCCAAAAAGAACTCGTCCCGCCGCAACGCATGGGGCAATCTGTCGTATGCAGACCTCATAACGCAAGCCATCACTTCAGCTCAGGACAACCGACTCACGTTGTCGCAGATCTACGAGTGGATGGTCCAGAACGTGCCATATTTTAAGGATAAGGGTGATAGCAACTCTTCGGCTGGATGGAAGGTAAGATTACAAATATAGACTTAACTTTTGTTTCTTTAAGGCGAGGTCACGCGAGTCTAGATTTTAGGAGGTGAGGTGTGGGGGGGCGCCCGCGCGTCCTGCAATCCGCCCGTAAAAAAATAATGTGATTAATATGATTAAATAAGAATAAGCTGAAAAAATTTTACATAGATCCGACAGCGGCAGCGGACCGCGTATCGTGTCGTTAAAGCGCAGGTCAATTCTCAATTTTTGGCATAAATGTGTATTTAATAATTATGAGACTTCAGTTGAAAATAAAAATTTAGCTGGTTCTCTGTAGTACTGAAACAGAAGTATCTTCATATAACAATTATGTGCAAGGTTGGATATTTTGTTCTTAAATAATTCGTTTTAGGTTTTTATTTTAGCCTGTTTTCGGGATTATATGATCAGGTAAAGTAAGTACTTACGTCCTGTAATGAAAAAATATTTTAGATTTAGGCTTTTATTTTAGACTTAGATTTATGATACATTTTTGGTAATACCGTTATTTAATAGTAAACACCTTGAACATTTGATCTAGCATAACAGTTTTCTCTGCTTCTCCTCCGGTGACACGTCTTAATTACCGTACGGATATCTTGTATTTGTTTTAAAAGTGAAAAGGTTTTAACTTAAACTGTCATTTGGAATAATAATGTATCAGTAAAAGCCTTACTGTATTCTTTAAAAAAACTTTTACTGGTTACAAACAGATCACGACCTCACAGTTTCCTTCATAGAGGATTTTTTTTTTAAATTAACGCTGCCATAAACTTTTACGAAACACACGAGCAGTTAGTCGCTACGGAGAGCGCAAATCTGAACACCTTCAACCTGAATTTGACATCGCCACGTTCTGGAATTATAAAGAACGATTTTTCCTTATACAAACATTGGCCTCTAAAGTTAATACTAGCACATCCATTTTAGGGTCCACGTATAACGGGTTTGCATTTTCTTAGGCTACTACTAGACGAAGTGCATACGTCAAGTCGATGTACACAACTGCGCTGAAATTATTCAGGTTCAGTGTATTTGTTGATGTCGAAATGGACGATGCTACACGTTGTTTGTAATTGTATTCAGAACTCTTAGGTTTCCGCGATTATCACAATAGGAAATAAAACAATTTTTTCGGATCTATAATTTTGGAAAAACAAGTATACGCGAATATAGATCAGAATAAATGGTTGAAATTCCTGTTTATTCCTGTTTATTCAGAACATTTATGATTCCAAGCGCTGACTTTGCTTTTTATTAAGGAGATAAACATGTCGCTATCGAAATCCTCAATTTTAATAAAATAATTCACGTCCGAAATCCTCAATTATAACTAACTCTACAATGGAATTAGCGATTAAAAATGTAAACAAATTCTAAGAATTGTACAAATGACATAAATCCATCGTGAAACCCCCAAGTAATTGTTACCTTTTACCATTACTAGTAAAGATCAAGTTGTTTTAGACACAAATAAAATCATGTCTTAAAATGTCGACTGCTACTTTTGATTCTTGAACCATCTTTCACATCGACTGCAGCCAACGCTTGCAGTTGCAAACTCGACTGCAGACTTGCAGTCTATCTGATAGCGAGTTTCATCCACAGCCTGATTTCTCCCACTGCTGCTGCTACCCGCCCGTGCTAGTCACATCCATTGAGGCTAAGAGCTATCAATATAACCTTGAAAAGAGATAACTGAAATGTTCTCTTGTTGATAACGACTATAATGGTAATGAATACTATTCCAAATAACTTTAATAAACTTATTTCTATCAAATTATAAGTAGTGTACCGAGGCGTAGATGACGGTCGTTGAGGTCGCCAATACACCATGGTGGTATGAGGAAAACATGACTGAGTCGGTGGAAGGTAAATGACTGATTGTATTGTAGTTGGGATACTTATAATATACAGATTTGATATGTGCGTCTTTATGCTATCTTACACTACTTCAAAGGCATCCTTGGTGCTGGTACTTGCTTCCAGATGTACGTAATCACAGAAGACTTCAGTATTTTCTTTGTAACATTTTCAAAGTGATCAGGGACAATCACATTCACGAAGAAAAACAGTTTAAAGATGGCGACCGAGGTATTTATTATCAAGAACATGAAGGTACATATCAGAACTTGCATGTTGAAATGAAAAACGGAACCCTTGGAAAACGTGTAAAGTCCCCAACGCGCACTCGGCCAGCACGGCAGACTATAGACTTAGGTATAATGAGTTGACGGTGACATAACATACGGAAATTATCACACTCACACGCGCACACATCACGCAAACACACGTACTTTGTTTTTAGAAGCAGCTATCGCAGGAACTGATTTAATATTTTGTTTATAGCTTCTTTAATTAAACGTACAAAGAGATAGTGTGCTTCCCCAGACGAACAAGGCGACCGACGCTGCAGTATCAATTATGGTAAGAAATTATTTCATGGCGGTCTGTAGAGTCGCACGCGTCTGATTTGACTTGTAAATACTCATACAAACTTGAGTCTTCCGTGACCTTCGCAATTCGCGTCAGAACTCTATTAGTAGTATACAAAAAAAAAAAGATTAGATAACATTATCGTGATAAAATACCTAAAAATCAAAGTATTTCAAACATTGTTTCATACTGTTTTTAGTCCGTGAACACGTACGATTATAGTTTTTAGGGCATTCCTCGAGTGAATCATTTGGATGATAGCCATTATTTCCTCTCAATGTATATTACAATGTATACGACTAGTACGTGTTGTATACAAAATATTGCTCATTTATTATTGTGTATTTAAACTCTGTGCTATTGTAAAACCGATGGTAGTCTAATGCTAGAACGGTTGCTTCTCATTTTGGAAGTACTGACTTTTGAATAGCGATACTTCGCACTAATTGTGAGGGAAGACATCGGGATAAAACCTACACCTCGAAGAAGGTTCTCAACATATAATCATTGTGTCAGTAGAGCTCCTTGTGAAAGAGTTACTCCAGGGAAGCTGCCGGTTTTTAAGCGTGTCTGTAGTTTCACCAGCATCCATACCCATCAAAACTAGAACTCAGTAATGCTCAAATTACTGCTTGGCAGCAGAAATAGGCATAGTGGCAGACACTTCCCTGGACGTTCGTTCATATCTTTCAGGACTCAGATAGAACTGTCGAGGAACGTGTTAGAGTGATCAAGGTATCTATAGGTTAGGGACTGGCTGACTTTAAGTAGATCTTGGGTCCAAAATTGGAGCTCCTGGGAGTTGAGTCCGATCTGGTAATACTTGGAGCCAATGAGCAACGGGAATGCCGAAATTAACTAGTTATATTAACTTTGAAATAGTAATGTAGTAGTGGCAGTACTTTTTGACTATGGATTACATTCATTATATGTCGTTCGTTAATTAATAATATGCTTAGGTCAGATACAATATAGTTCTTACAATTTTGCAAAGCGAACTTAAATGTCGAATATGGGCATGTAGTTTAATTAGATCAGGTCACGCAGTCATGACCTCTGACCTTAAAGACTTTTTTTATAATATCAAGTGACGGGACGGACGTGTCGTGCACCTGGTGTTAAGAAAGCAACACGCCTATCCATAACAGTTGCAGTGACATTCAGAGCTTTAAATCACAAAGATCTGACAGGCACTGCCACTGTACCCATCACCTTGAGATATAGTAGATAAGTCTCATGTGCCTGTAATATCACTAGTACCTACCCTTCAAAACCGGAACGCAGTAATGCTCATATTACTGCTTGGCGGCAGAAATAGGTAAGGTGGCTTCTCTTGACGAGCACTTTTACAAGGTGCTCGCGTACTGCTACTAAACTAGCTTCCGATAAGAGTTTTGTGCAGAGAGAAATTCATAGAAAATTTGGTGCCATGTGCAATTTGTGACTTGGGAACCCAAGGTTCGGGATCATTCCGGAATGATAGCCACGCATTGACACATAATTGTATTGTAGACTATATATATACACATACATTTCACATATACATTTCACAGGTTTTTAATTTTGTTATTTTAATTTTTGCTTAGTTTTGTTCAGTTTTAGCTGTTTTTGCTGTATGAAAGTACATAAATTGCTGAATGTAAACTTGATTTGATCTAGTCATATATATATATATAGACAGATTAGTCATACTCTCGTGCTTCCAAAATAATAATTATTACCTTTATGTAATGCAGTGCATACCTTTAATTTAAATGCATGCATAATACTAGTTTTAAATATTTCGTTTTTATAAATATTTAACGTATCTGTATGTATTTAGTTTAGTTGGTAAGTCTTACTAAATAAATAAATAAAACATATATATGGGTTATATGTTTAAAGTTTAAAGAGCTTTTTAAAATTCTTTGATTGATCACGCATAACTATGAATGTGTTGAATCACACACTCTGGAATAAATATATAGTAAAATTGAGGAGTGAAAACACGACTCCTACAAATTTTCACGATAGAAAAAACACAAGATTACCTCGAAATTTTACAACACAATAGGTACTTTACATATACCAATGATCTTTTTTTATGTCAACTGAACTAAACAGTATACGATATACATTTTTCAAATTTCTTTTGCCTTTAATTTCATTTGTAAAAAAAATAATTTTGAAATAAAGCCAGTGTCAAAATGAACCGTATTAGTAGGGAAGCAATTTGAATTCGAGCAGAGGTCTTACATTAAAAATTTTGGCATAGCGAATCCGATACAAAATATAGTTAATTCATTAAGAGTTATAATTGTCCTCGCTCCAAAACAGACTGATTTATAACATCGTTTAAGGAAAAACATTCACTTGTAAAACGGACAATGATTCATTCTTTATTAAACGGTGATTTATAAGTACAAAGTTCAATGGATGGAACGAAATTGTACTTACAATAAACTGCTCCTACGACACACTTATCATACATAAGCAACTGGTAAGCAATCGGTCTTCTCCAAGAAGGGAATTTTAGGCCACTTTCCCCCACGAATCGGGGAACTTGGCAACTTTACACATTT